CAGAGGGCCGCGAAGAAGGCTCTGTACCCCAGCTCACTGTTCCAACGCCCGAAACGACAGGACAGGTGGAAACCACCGGCTGGGCACAAGGCTGACTGGCAGAGCTTCAGGGCAGAGTGGGGCCGGGCATCTTTTAAGAAGTTGATTCCGAGAGGCCTTTCTTCTACGGTCATGCCTATTTTTAGAACAGGTCCAAACCTCAGGCGCTTTGCTATCCTTCCTTCCCTCCTCCAAGAGACGATTAAAGGGCTTTCCACTGCCTTGTCCCATCTTCTTCTGATAATATTTATTTGTTTGGATTTTTTCCAACAAGGAGCGTTCTCTTATTTTGCATTGCTTTACTCTCATTTTCGTTGTATTGAAGTATGATTTACAAGCAGTAAAGTGCTCAGATCTTAAGTATATGGTTTACCTGGTTGAAACAAATGTTTACACACTTGTGTAACCCACGCTCTTTTCAAGACCCAGAACATTTTCATCACCCCAGAATGTTCTAGAACTTTACAAAGTAAACCAAAGGCCGTTCTCTGTGGTCTTTGACATAGGACACACTTCCACTTCACATAGCTCTAGCAATTGTGTTAGCTGAATGAGTAGCTCGCCCCGCCCTTTTAGGGAATTTATTGGGGTGACACTGGTTAACAAACCTATACAGGTTTCAGGTGCACAATTCTACAACACATCATCTGTACATTGTATTGTGTGTTCACCACCCAATACAAGCCTCCATCTATCACCATTTATCACCCCCATACTCCTTTCCCCCTCCCCCCCGTTCTCCCAGCAATCATCACGCTGTTGTCTGCGTCCATGAATTTTTTTCTCTTTTTTTGTTTTGCTCAATCCCCCCACCTCCCAGCTGCCCACCCACCCACCCCAAGCTGTCAGCCTGCTCTCGGTCTATGAGTCTGTCTCTGTTCAACAAGGAGATTTCTTTGGGGCCTTTTTATTTTTTTCAAGCATATACTGGTTGAAATACTGACAGTTGTAACCAAAAGGATCCAGTAGACTTGATTCTTTGCTGGTATACATAAAAAGCGAAGGGGCCATTGCTTCTGCCTCTCGGCTCTTACTGAAGTTCTGTGGACAGCTTGGTAGAGGGTCCTGTAACAAAACGATGAGCCGTTGAGAGTGGGTCATTCATTTTAGCCATGAACTTTAATGCACTTTGTTCTGTTGCTTGATATGAAGTAGAACCTGGGAAACTGAGAAATAGCATTATTCTGCACCTGGAGATAAAGCACACATTTCCCTTGGGTTCAAGGTTCTGGTCACAGGAATATACAGTCAAACAATTTCGATACATGCACCAAAGCAATTCAAGGTGGGGAATGAAAGTCTTTTCAACAATCATTGCTAGAATAATCGGATATCCCCACGAGAAAAAGAGAACCTCAATCTGTACCTCAATATTATACACAAAAATTAAATTGAAATGAGTCAGAGGCCTAAATAGAAAAACCTAAACTTTTAATAAATAAAACTTTTAGAGGAAAATATCTCTGAGACTCAGGGTAGTCCAAGGTTTCTTAGTTCACCCAAAGTAAAAACCAGGCTAAACAAACTGGTAAATTGAACTTATCAAATTAAAAACTTCTGCTCATGGAAAGACAATGTTATGAAAATTAATAGGCAAGCTACAGATGGAAAGGAAACATTCACAACATATATCTGCAAGGAAACTGTATCCAAAATATATTTTAAAAGTCCTAAAATTCAATAGTAAAAAGGCAACCCGATTTAAAAATGGGCAAGGAACTTGAACAGACATTTGTAAAGGAAGATATACAAATGACTAATAAGCACATTAAAAAGTGCTTAATATCATTTTTCGTCTGGAAAATTCAACTTAAAAGCACAACGAGATCTATCCACTGGAATGGCTACATTAAAAAAAAAAAATTAACACCACCCGATGTTGCTGCTGGAAATGTCAGATAATCCACCTGTTTGGCAGTTTCTTCTGAAGTAAAATATGCATCTACCTGATGACACAGCAGTTCCACTCCTACCTGCTTATCCAAGAGAGATGAAAACACGTACAGATTTCTGCCAAATTGCTTTCTCCATCATGTCTTTGCCCGTGTCACTCTCTTCCGGAGTTCCCTTTTTCCTGTCCCCATCCCTGATTTCTGCATGTTCATCCTTAATGCCCTGGCTTGAGGAACTTTGCTGGCTCCCTTCCCCAAACGAATCTCTTTACCCTCCAAGCCTCTTCGGTAGTCTTTCTACATTTCTCTTAGAAGATCACTTCAAAAGTTGGCATGGTTACACGTGGCACACCCCCAGCCTGTGTGTAAGCTCCCCTCCGACATGATCTCTCTGGCCTGATGTATCTTTGCACTCCACTTGGAGCTTTACCAAGTTGTTTTGAACTAGGATTGAATGGCTGACCAAGTGGATATATATTCGTCCAGTGACACACTGGACTTACTTATGGACTTATGATCAGAGGATTTGGTCCAACTCCTGCTCTCCCCAGCAATGTTAGATAAATTCCCTGATCTTATTTGCCTTTATTTGAACATAAAATAACTGAATGACTATGGTAGGCTGTTACTCGGGGGGGCCCACACACAATGAACTCTGCCCCATAGCGTCCATGCTCTCGTGTAGTCCCTTTCGCACTGACTCGGGCTGGGCCACGTGTCATGCTTTGACCAGTGGAACGCGAGCGAGCGAAGTGTTGATGAGCACTGCACACCCGGGCACCCACCTAGGCAGCCCTGAGCTGCCGTGTAGGAAGTCTGACTACGCCGCTGGAGGGACCACATGTAGAAACCACGTAAGGAGGCCACGGAGAGGCTTTGACACTACACGGAGTAAAGGAGGCCAGTCGTCTGAGCATCCCCACTGAGCTCAGTCCAGATTGCAGAACGGTGAGAAAGGAAATGGCTTGTTTTAAGCCACTAGGTTTTTCAGATTTACAGGTAGGTGGGGAAATGGAGGCAGGGAAATGGCCTTTGCCTTTCCACAGGGATGGAGAGGGAGTCCCTTCTTCTGTGAAGAGTAATGTAATAGAGTTGAGGGATTTGGAAGGTTCATGAGAGACCGTTAGCTCCATGCCCAGCTCAGACACCTTCATTGGACTCCCCTCAAATAAGTGCCCCTGTCACCGCTATCTACACATCCTTGCTCTTCTAAGACTATATTATGTTTGCAAATATGCCAGACCCTAAACTAAATTCTTGAGGGACAGAATAGTCTTAGTCACCCTTTCCTCCCCATTCGCACTCAGTCTGTGGCATATAAATGCTCAGTAAATGTATGTGGAATGCTGAAAGTCTGGCGTGTCCAGAATTTGGCTGAAATCTGAAACATAACATCACCTCGCTGAGAATGTTACCTAAACTTTTTGTTGTCATTTTCGCGTTGGGGGTGGGGGTGGGAGTGTAGAGGTCATTTGATCATATGCCCTCTGATGAGGAAACTGCAGCTCGGAGAGGAACAGGCACTTGCCAGAGTCACTCTGCCTGGGACACCCTGCACCCACGCGGGCCTCCTGGTCTCCTGGCTTCCGGGCGCCTTCTCTCTGGGGGGCTTCCCTCCTGCAGGGCAGTAGAACCCACCAAGGCTCCACCGTGTCGCAGCCCAGGGATGTGGCCTTTGTAGAGGCCTTTATGTCTCACTGAAAGAATGTCATTCATCTGTGCCCATTCCTCCTTGCACACCCTCCCCAGCTCCTGCTGCCAGAGTCTCAGAGAGGCGATGTGGGGAGTGAGGGGGAGAACCTGCTGGCCTGAAGCTCTGCCCGCCGGATGCCATCTCCCGGGCCCACCCAGGTCAGGAGGGGGTCCCACCCACACTGGGAGCCGGGGTGCAGAGTGCTCCGGGCCACCCAGGCTGCAGTGGGTCAAACTGACAGAGGGTGACGCTGCTGCTAGGGCAATGAACACCAAGACCCCCTTTATGAATGCTTTAGGAAATTGTTGTAATTACCATACAGACCTTATAACTTGACCTACTGATGGTCACCTGTAGCAAATATTTCTAAAATCCCATCAGGGTGTGTCTCTCACCTGCCCTCATTCAATTGTGAGTGACTGTGTCTCCATGTGCCCCCCCCCCCCACAGTGTGGGGAACAGTTGACAGCGCTCCTTCCCGTGCTCCCCTCTCCACTCTACTTTTTGTATCTTATTAGACTTTCCAGGAAGGAGCTAATTTCCGTGGTTGAGGGAGCAGGTCGGGAGAAGGAGGTGCTAAGCTGGGGCCAGGAAAAATGTTTAGAAGAGTATCTACCTCCAGGTGATCTAAACTTGTCCTTCTCAAACTTGACTGCTTATTGGAACCACTTATTTAGAAACTGCTTATTTAACAACGAAGGATGCTTGCCCTGGCCAGCGTTGCCCCGTGGTTGGAGCATCAGGTGCCCAGGGTGGCAGCTTCCATCCTGCCCCGGGGCAACTGGGGGAGGCAACCAATTGGTGTGTCTCTCTCACACAGTTGTTTCTCTCCCTCTCTCTCTGCCTCTCCCACACACTCCCTCCCTCCCTTCCACTCTCTCTAAAAATCAATGCAGAAAATATCCTCGGATGAGGATTAACCGCCTGGATGTCAGCGCAGAGGTCTGAGTTGATCTGGGATGTAGTCTGGGCATCTGGAATTTTTTTAATTCCCCAGCTTATTTCCAGGTTGAAAACTATTGAAATAAATTCCTCACTCGTCTTTCTACTCTGAAAGAATCCGATTCTCAGCCCAGGTCTTCGGACCTGAGGATCTGGCTCTTTCCCCTTCGCAATCTACCAGCTCCGCAGGGTCCCCCAAAATCCGCGCGCGCGCCGACGCTAAACACGCAGCGGCGGCGGGCGGGGCGGGGGCGGGACCGCGCGTGGCCCCGCCCCCTGTACGCCTATGGGCGCGCGGTGCGGGCCCTGACGTCACTCTTGTCAGGGCCGCGGCACATGTGCGGCCGGATGCGCTGAGCCGGGCGCTGCGGGGCCGCGGAGCGCGGGGGAGCAGCGGCCGCAGGCGCGGGGAGGGGGGTGGGGTGGGACCGCGCGCGGCCTCGGGTGCTGGCGCGACGGGGCTGCGTTGGCGCGGTGTCTTCCGCCCTTCTGCGGCCGGCTGCATATTTTGTCTTTCTTTTTTGCAATTTGAACATTTTGCAAGACGGTGGGTTCAAGACAGGTGAGAGCATCCCGCACGTCGCCGAGGAACTGGCGGGCACTTGGCGCGCTCTCCGGAGACCGTCTGCACTGGAAACCTGAAAGTTTTTTGTTTTTATTTTTTTATGCAGATGCATTTATAAAGATACAAGTAAAAATTTTTTTCCCTCGTCTCCAAGCGAGTACTTTTGGCAAAGGACGGAGGAAAAAGCTCAGCAACATTTTGTTTTTTTAAAAGAAAAAAAATTGCATCGCGATGGAGAAAATGTCCCGACCGCTCCCCCTGAATCCCACCTTTATCCCGCCTCCCTACGGCGTGCTCAGGTCCTTGCTGGAGAACCCGCTGAAGCTCCCCCTTCATCATGAAGACGGTGAGCGCTGCCCTGCTGGCTGCCCCGCTCTGGGAAGGGACGACGCTCCTGGGGTCCCCCTCTTTGGCAGAGCACCCTCCTTAGCTCGCTGGAGCATCCATCTCCCTCCGTCCCAGGCCCCTGGCATTCTGGCTCTGCTTTAATGAAATAGAGGAGCTCACCCATCACCCCACCCCTTCTCGAAAAATGGGGTTCCTCACACTGAGCAACGGTTAAAATAGCGCTGGGTACCCGGCCCAGCCTCTCTGGGTCCCGCTCCGGCGGCGCAGGTGGGAGATGTAACTTGACAGGTCAGTGTTTCCCAGACCCGGGCTTATCTGCCTGCAGAGCGAACCCGCCTGCGCCAGGCAGAGCTGCTTTGCTGGACAGGAGAAATCGGAGGGCTTGCTTCCCTAGCGGTGGGGGCTCGAGTTGGGGTGGTCTCACTGCCCAGGCCGGGTATTGGGATCATATTATTGTTTCTGTTATTCGTTAGGATTTGGAACCCACGAGGTGTGAGCGGAGACGCATGTTCTCCAGTGAAGAGTAATTCAGAAGGGGGGGGGGGGTGCGATGAGGGCTGGCGAGGGGTGGGGGGGATTGTCTCTCGGCGGGAAGCTGTGCACGCCTCCAGCGCTGACACTTTTCCCGGTGCACTTTCTTGGTGGGAGGGGAGAGAGGAGCAGGCTCACGTGTAATCGCGCAGAAGCCTCCTCTGGCTTGAGCCCTTTCTTGGTAAGTCCCAAACCTTCCCCAGGCAACCTTGGCTGGAGCGGGACCTCAGGGGTCGTGCGAGGAGGCACTGGACCAAGCTGGTGCCATCAGGGATTTGTCATTTGGGCTGATGCGGTTTCTTGCTTTCTCTATCACGGTAGCAAATGCGGACCGTTTGGCTCAGAGTGTAAAGTCTTGAAAGATCCTTTGGATACAAAAAGCTTGGGAGCATTTGCATTTTCTGCCCTAGGGGACAACCTGTTGCATTGCAAAAGTTGAGGGGTTTGGTTCTCGGTCTGCAGAGCACTGCTTTCCCTGTCACCCCCCCCCCCCCTTAAAGAGTGGCCCTTGGGAGGAAGGTGCTGCCTGCAGTCTTTTTTGCCTCCGTGGTTTTCTTTTTTTTTGCCTCCGTGGGTGTTTTAAGTCATTCTCGGGAGATGAGACTGTAGAGGATTAGAATGGATGGCGGTGGAGGCTGTGTTCCTCTGAGGAAGAAACTCAGAAACCAAATTCCTTAATCCCAGATTCCACTGGCGCCTGAGTACTAGACTTGGCAGAATTCAAAGCACTGGTTAAAACCCTCATGGGGTGAGGCAGTATCTCCAGGTAAACATAGCTGTGTACCTCCCGCATAGGTATGTAGAGGAACCACCTTTTCCATTAGCTGTGCTCTGGACAGGTTGCATATATGTGCAATTTTTGTTAGTCGTTGTGGGGAGGGAAGGAAGAAAGTACTTTGTATTTAAAAGAGCTCCTTTGGTAAAATACAGTGTGGCCCAGTGGCTTTAGAAACACATGCAAGTGAGCCCAGGACGGGTTTTCTGCTTTCTTCTTTGCCAGTGTGTGGCATTGGTCGAGTTCCTGCGAGGTTCGGAGCCTCCATTTCTTCATTATATGGGGATAATTGCTATTTACAGTTGATGATGAGATGTTGGGAGATGCTATATGGAAAGGATGAGATATATAGTAGGTGTTCAATACATGACTTCAAAGAAGGGTGGAGAGTCCCTGCTTTACCAAAATTAGAATCACCAACTCAGTGGCTTTCCAAATCTGAATAACTTCATATTGTTACTGGAATGACTTTCCTGGATGCTAAATCATGCCTGGTTATTGCCTATGTTCTTTTTAAAAGTCACAGCAGTTTTATGTAATTGCAGGTGTTATTTTCCCACTGTGGATTTAAATTATTTGCCTCCTCAAATAATGCCCTGAAGACTGTGCTCTCTTGTTTATATCCTAGAGCATGCTGTAGCCCTGTCCCAAGGACTGGTGCTTTCTTTCCAAAGTAAATAGGAAGATGTTGAAAAACAGTCAGAGATCCATGTCCTGCCTGAACTTTTAACTCTAGCTCCACAAATCCGGCGGCCAGACAACTCTGGATTTGTGACTAGCAGTTTTGTAGCAGAGGAGAGGTTGGTAAAAGAAAAAAAAAAAAAAAAGTGACACGTTTCCTCTGTTCAAGTCCAACTTTCCCCTTTTCCTGCAGCGTTTAATAAAGACAAAGACAAGGAAAAGAAGCTGGATGATGAGAGTCATAGCCCGACCATCCCCCAGTCGGCGTTCTTGGGACCCACCTTATGGGACAAAACCCTTCCCTATGATGGAGATACTTTCCAGTTGGAATACATGGACCTGGAGGAGTTTTTGTCGGAAAATGGCATTCCCCCCAGCCCCCAGCATGACCACAGCCCTCACCCTCCGGGGCTGCAGCCGGCTTCCTCAGCGGCCCCCTCCGTCATGGACCTCAGCAGTCGGGCCTCCGCCCCCATTCACCCTGGCATCCCGTCCCCGAACTGTATGCAGAGCCCCGTCAGACCAGGTAAACTCTCAGAAGGTTCTCCCTCCAGGCAGGGAGGAGGGCTCCAGGGAGGGGCAGGGTGGGGGTTGGCATAAACATCTTCATGGGGGGGACAGGGGGGGACTAGCTCGCTCTAAAAGAGGAGCCTCAAAAGGGTGGGGCAAAAGTAGGTGTACAGTTGTCTGGAAGATGATACAGTAATTAACAAATGATAATGCAAGAATAAACACTGTTTCGCGTACTCAAAACTGCACACCTATTTTTGCCCCAGACTGTCTTTCAACTCACAGCAGTGGGGTCCCACTTCAGTGAGCCTCTGTATCACCTGGAGAGGGAACTGGATGCAGGTTCTATGGACCTACCCTAGAAATGCTGATTTTTCAGGCCTGGGGTCAGGGCCCAGGAATATGCATTTTAAACCAGCTTCTGGGGGGATTCTGGTATGGCCGATCCAAGGACCGCAGTTGAAGAGGCACTAACTGAAAGTTAATGATTTGGGTAATTAATCCAGATGTCCATCTCATCTCTCGTCTCTTTCCCACACCCCCCAGCTGCACAGAGAACAGGTTGTTGCTGAATGATTTGGGTAGACTCTAAGGCTATGGTTTACCTACATTCACTCTTGTCTGGCCTAGAGGGAAAAATGATGTGAGTTAGGGGTATAGGGAGATAGCTTTTTTATCTTTTCGTCTGTGTTGTCCTTGTTGAGAACTTGAATCTCAAAGCAGCTCTCATATTAAGCACGGCGTCGCCTTTTTAGCACCAGGCCCGATGTGTCTCTCTTTAGTATTCCTATAAAGCAAATTGTTCTGACATTTCTTTGTCTCATTTTCATCTGTCTAACACACTTAATCCACTTTGATCAGAACCCGCAAGGCCACAAGGTTAGCTGTAAATGGTGTTGAAATATTACAAAAACCATCACCTGAAATGACCGCTACTTCAGAACCCACTGCTGCCCAGAGGTAAACACACACTGAGGCATCTGTGGCTTCGTGCCTTTAGCACCCCGTCGGACAGAACGAACAGGAAGAAAGACCATTTTATGTGTGCACGTAACCAGGAACAAAGATCCAGCCAGATAAATCGTCAGGAAGGTCGAGGAGCCCAGGGCCTGAGCTGCAGGGGAAGACAGAAAGCAGGACAATGGGAGGCTTGTGCTGGAGAGCGTTCCTGAACCCGGCGTCCTCGACTCGTGTCGAATTTCTGTGACACACAGAGCAAGGTTAAAATGAAGGAAATGATACAAGGGAGGAAGAGCCTTGAAATATTAGCATTGGCGTTCAAGTCCTCCCATTCAGATCTCTCTGTGCTGCCCATCCCCCTTCTCCGAAACCTCCTCTGAATGTCAGCTCAAGGCCCCTGGCCGGAATGGAATTAAGTCTTAACCTCTGACCACCCAGAAGGCTGCAGAAGCTTAGGAAAATACTCCTCTATGTGAACCTGAGCCCCTGTTATTAAGAACATACAGTGCTTCTTCCCAGGAACAGACAAGCAGCAAAGTGGAAAAAAACCAGGGAGAAGGGGACAGAGCCCCAGTGAGACGGCACCGTGGTGCCTCAGTCTTTCTGCTCTGCAGAATGGGACATGCTGCTTTGTAACTGTGTGACCTTACAAAGTGACAGCCTCTCGAAGCATCGGGTTTCCTTTGTGTAGAATGGTATAATTTCTATGTGATTTATTGTGAAGATTAAAGGTACGGTGTATAAAAGGTCCAATGACTAGCACAGGTGTTCTATTAATGAGAGCAGTCATGATTGTTGTTATATCTGTGTCAACTTTTATCATTTATTTCAATTCCCATCTTCTGAAATACCTTCTTAGAGTAGTTAGGTATCGTGGGTAACTTCCTCTTCTGGAGAGAAATATCCGGAGGTTTGGACCAGTAGTTATTGGATTGGGGTGTCTGAACCCTAGCACTTACCATCAATTGGCACATATTTTGCAATCCTTTGCCCCAACACAAGATATACTATGTTAGAAATACTAGATATTTTCCCGAGAGGCATGCAAATACTGGGCCCTCACACCTTGGTTCCTAGTGAGATTCAAGAATCGGGGTTTGGGGATTTAAGGCGTCTGTAACGGTCATTTGTCATTAGGATCAGTATTCGTCAGTGACTCAGGAACTTGAAGGGCCCTGGTCAGATCTGCAGTCCTCAGAAAAGCACTCCTGAGTTTCAGTGATTGTCACATGTCAGACTATGGAGGAAGGAAAGGCACGAGGATCAAAGAGGACACTGGGATCTACAAATAAACTCTTCAATTACATGTCTTTTTAAAATAATTTTTTTCTTTATTGATTTTAGAGAGAGAGGAAGGGAGAGGGAGAGAGATAGAAACATCAATGAGAGAGAACATCGACTGGCCACCTCCTGCATGCCCCCCACTAGGGATCCGGCCCACAACCTGGGCGTGTGCCCTGACCGGGAATCGAACCAGCGACCTCTTGGTACATGGGTCGATGCTGAACCACTGAGCGCACCAGCCAGGCTACATGTCTTTTTATTTTATTTTATCATGGAAACACACTTCAAAATAATCTACTTTGACTTGAAAACTGGATACTCCTAAGGAAAAAGGAAAAATGTTTAAAGCTCTTCTTCAAACACCAAATGCAGATAAAATACCCCTCTGCTGTTTACACAGTGTTGATTGTTACAAAGATTATGATACAAACTAAAACTCTAGGGGGTGGACCTGATGGACGCTCTCTGACAAGCAGACCTGAGAAAGGAGGAAGTTCTCAGTGGTTCCATGTAATCACGGTGGTGACTGTCACACTCAGGAATGGAAGTGCCCCGGTAATTTTGAGGAAAGCAAGTCCTCCAAGGAGGAGCACAGATGTAGCCTTGAGCCTCTGGGAACCGTATAATCCCAGTCTAGAGCGGGATTCCTCAGCCTTGGCGTACTGATGTTTCAGGTCAGCCTTTGCTGTGCATTGCAGGACATTTAACAGTGCACACACACTCACTCACGCACACTCACACGCACACTCACACACTTTATCTGTGACAAATGAAAATGAATCCAGTCGCTGCCAGATGTCCCCTGGGGGCAAAATCGCCCCTGTTGAGAACCTCTGATGCAGACTTTCCATTTGGACAGCAAACTCAGGGCTTCATTCCAAATCCTGTCAACGCACAGGGATGCTTTTTACCTCCTGGAATGCTCTGCGGCAGAACCTTCGAGAATGTTGGGAGACATTAGCTTTCAAGGAGAAATATAATATCAATAAGAGCATAGTTACACACTTTTAGTCTGTAAAACTACGCCATCAGGTTAACCAGGTGACGATTTCAGAGTAATTTTATTCAGCCTTTGTTTTCTCCTGTTGGCATCTTTTGAGTTACACTCAGTCGCATTATGTCATTGGGGCGCCCTGTCTGGCTGAAGGGAGGTGAAGCATGAGCTGACGCTGTGCATTTCTAGGTCTGCCCAAAACATGTCTTGGAACGACAAGGTGAGCGTTCTGGTGAATTCTCATTCCATGTACCATGACTGCCCCAACCCCCTTGTCCTATTTTGTGCAACCCATCCTTAGTCTTCTGTCTCGCTGTCCGATCAAAGAATGACTTTAATATCAGAAGACATGTACTTTTCCTCGAAGAAACAACCCAGGGACCCATTGAGACCTGCTGTGGCTCTGGGGTGCTGCTCGGCTTTCTGGGTGACATCCTGCTGAAGGGGTTAGAGTGTGTACTGGATGCTCCAGCCACCTGGTGCGGTCTCCTCAGTCATCTGAGGTGCAGCATCCTGGGCGTCGCAGGCCAGCAGAGATGGCAGGAGTCGTCCTGACCACGCCAGTGTTTGCATTGCAGGTGCCCTCCGAGGTGGTACTGGGAAGCGCCAGGTACTGGAAAAATAAGGATCTGATGGCCCGAGAATTAAGCAGTTGCTTGAAGGACAGCGATCTCTTTGGGGAAAGTCGTCTATAGCAAACAAAGGCAGGATTATTTTTAAATCACATGATTGTGAATCCAGAGCTGAACTCGTTTCTTCTGGTGGTTTTTCTTTGAATAGCTTGGGGGTGTCCTGCATGGTTAGACCCTAGTCCACTGAGAACTGAGAAGGCACTCTTCCTGGGTCTGAGCCCGGACATGGGCTTAGTGAAAATCCTTCTGTGTGGGGGTTTGTGGGAAGAGGGGAGCATCAGCGGGAGGCGCAGGAGAGTGGGCTGGCCGGGGAGAACCCAGTGTACCTCTGTAAGAAGGAATTGGCGTCGTTTCTGCTGACCTTCCCTTGTGAGACGGTTTTGGCGTGGGAGGAAAACGCTGGTCGTGGGGTCTAGTGATGCTGGCGAGGATGCTGGTGGTTGTGGGACGAAGGGTGGTTCTGGGATGAGGGGAGGTCCTGCTGAGGCTCCAGCACTCACTTGCTTTTCCCAAACTCACGAGGTGAAGCTTCGGTTTTCCCTTTCCTTACATGCAGACCGTTCATATATGTTCCCGTCCAGCCTGCTGACGCGTCTGCAGGCTGGTGGATGCTGTGCGTGGTGCCTGGGGTTGCTTGGAAGAGCACCCGATCAAGGAGGTCACGCACGGGAGAGAGTCAGCTTTGTGTTGGAGGCAGGCAGACGTTTCTCTGTTTCTTCTAAGACTCTATCTTCTCTACCAAGCCCTGCAGAGGACGGGCGTGCCCTGTTCTCCTGGCGTTAGCGTGCCGACTCTCCAGGATGGCAGTTCCTGGCCTTCTGGCAAGAGGTCTTTGCAGATCAGTGTGGACACAGGACCACTTGGTTGTTCCGGCCCCAGGGACCTGGGTTCACATCCTAGACCCACACTGGCTTTCTGTGGAACTTTGTGTCAATTTCTCAACCTCTTTAAATAGTCGCTCTCCCATGGGGTTCAGCAGGGTTCAGTGAAATAACTCACGCAGAGGATGGCATGGTGTGTGGTACCTGGGCACTCAGTGCCTGCAGCTGTCAATATACTGTCAGTGGCCTGGGTGCAGGAACAGGAATGATTGACTGCTCTCTGAACCCCTGCTCTTCATATTTGGGATTCGTTTCATCTAGTCCC